ATGTATGGCAATTGTGGTATGCTCCTTTTCTCTCTCTCTCTCTCTCTCTCTCTCTCTCTCTCTCTCTCTCTCTGAATTGAGTCTATTTGGAGTTCCTTTTAATTCAAACACAAAAAGTAATGAATGATACTGTGTAACCGTCTTAGGCTTATTTGCTGTTCAGGTAAAACCTTAAACATTTTGAGGTAATATAAAATCTTTCACAGTAATTGTAACAGTTGTGAAAATAGTTTCTTTAGTTCTCAGTTTTTTTAGTGATTACAGTTTTTATTTAACACGTTTGCTATGTTGTCTTTTGTTAGAATTTGGATCAGTCTATAATAGAATGAAATCTGTTATTCTTTTTTATTGTTCAACTCTGCTTTTTATGTATTTAATTTTTAAAGATTTATTGACATTGTTTTGTATCCATATATCTATTATATCAATGCAACAGTTTTATATCTATTAATAATAACATTGTAGATGTTATGGCTATGGGAAGTGTCACAGTTAATGGTCAGCCTGAAAACAAAACAAATACAAAGACAGGCAAAGAAACAAGAGGCTGAAGAAAAGGAAAAAAAGAAATGAACTCCCATGAAGTGAAAGCAAAGAGGAAAAGAGGATAAAAAGGAATACCCCAAAAAAGGAGTCAGTGTTAACTGTAAGAGGGAAGAAAGCAAATCAGCTTCTTTCTGTTATAGCATTCCTTGATTACAGTTGTGGTTGAACAGGTGGTTAATGGAAGTGACTAAGATGGACTCCTTAAACTGATGGAGAGAAATAAGAACAATAAGCTTCCAAGATTATTATGGTGGAGGGAAAGGAGGGGCTTCTATTGCAGGTTAAAAAAGGGGGAAAATTGGGGGGGGAGCTTTTTCATGATAAGAGGACATTTTTTGCCACAGTGGGATGGAATGTAGATCACATTTTTACTTAGAGCAGACCTTTTCCGTGATGGAGGGGTGGTTCTCGGAACCACCACCCCACCCCTGCCTACAGGTCTTCTCAAGATCTTGTTATTCAGGCCTACCCAACTACCAGACTCGGCACCTAAGGATCCTGAATTAACCGGTATATCGGACCATACTACCCGTTTTCAAGGTGTGTGTCAGATCGCATTTCGGAGTATCAGCCAGAACACCGACAGGATGAGCCCTGGCATGCTCGGCTGTCACTTTGATTGGATAGTAAACGATTGTCGTAAAATCGCTATATGATTTTAAAACCGGGGGCATAAATTTGAAAGCCACCTAGATGAACCTAAGACTGCCACATTAATCTAATACAATGCAAAAAAGCCCTATCAAAAGTGGTTAAAACATTCAAACCGAATGTCGTAAAGTCCCCATATACCCCCATAGAAACAATAAAATAGAGTACTCTAAAGTAAGAGTACAGTTTCAGGTTGTTCAGCTGAGCGTGGATGAGCCCGCAGTCGTGCTACAAAATTTATTCTGGTGTATGATACTCCGAAATGCGATCTGACACACACCTTGAAAACGGGTAGCGTGGTCCGATATACCGGTTAATTCAGGATCCTTAGGTGCCGAGTCTGGTAGTTGGGTAGGCCTG